TTAGGTAAAGAGAGAGCATTTAAGTTTAATAAGGTAAGTAATGTTGACGTTAGGCGTAGAGTGTTGGGCAGACAAAGAGGGAAAATCAATCGACGAGGCTATAAAGTTACATAGATTGAGTGAGATGGCTAGGTGACGTTCTGCGCATGCCTAACCATCGCCTCCCCCGCCGACGGCCATTACTAGCTGATATAGGTGCAGGTTGGAAAAGAGTAAGTGGTGGGTGGCCAAACAAAAACATGGCCTCATCAATCCATGAAATCCTTGACAGTTAAACTGAATCAGGTAGGGCGATGCAGACTCCCGGGTTGGGGCCCTCGGGACTGACTCTAAGAATCAATAGCTGGAGACAATAGGTGGTGACATGGCTCAAAATCGTTGTCACTGGCCAGCGGAGATGTATTCAGTCTCTGTAATCTTTCATATTCCTTTCTACTATTATTATGCATTCTGTTTCACTCTTATACTTGTCAAACTCTATTGATTCTCTTCACTCATCTTCTTGTCTACCTACCTTTGTGTGCTATTTGGAACGTGGCAACTCGAACTGGTGCACTTCGGTGAGAAGTTCTATGTTGAATCCAGACAGACAGACAGATTTAAGTTACACCACCTTAGATGGTTAAGACATCTGTTAGGCATGCCGGGCTACATGCTATATGGAGTGTGAAAAGTACAACATTAGTACACCTTCCAGTAAGATTCCCACATTCTTTGTAGATGACTTTGACATTAGATTGCTAGATCACTCACTGTCTAGAATTATTGAAGTGCTCCAGAATACAGCTCCGAGGGAGACCTATTTTCGTCTTGATAAAACCATGAGGTTAAATTCAAGTATTGATTTCTAGAGATTTGGTTGATTGGTTACAGGATTTCATCATGAGTTGACATTGGTTACAGAACCATTGGAAAACCACTTGGGAGTACTGGACAGCTGTTTCATCAGTCTAGTTTGAGACTCTTCAGCAGTACGCACTCACCCATTGGGGTTCGAACCCAGGACCTTCTGGTTACAAGGCCAGCGAGCTCATAGACCATTAAGCGACTGAGACCCGATCCAATGGCCAGTGTATGAATTCTAACTTCTGCCAATTCACGACATAGCGCAACCGCTAGCCAATGTTTTCGGCGAGTATTTGTCCTCACACCGGACCTGCTGCACCCTACTGGTCACGACTTCCCACGGGAAACCCAGGTACCTACCTACCTGAATATGGCCAGTCGCCAGTGAGCATCTCATTGATATTCAAGTATTGGTTAAATGTGCGTCGGTGGCACAGTGGTTAGGACTCTCGCCAACCATGCGCATGGTCCAAGGTTCGATCCCCTGCCGACGCACAATCGATATCTATGGTCGACCTGCAAAATTTGGGCTACCGATATCACATGCTGAAAATTTCATATTTGTACCAAAAATACGGTGTAGAATCAAGCTGTAATCAAAAACAAAAAAGTTACATCTGGAGAGCAGATATATTTTCTACCGCTGTGTTATACTTCTGCTTCTTATTTCATTGAACTTGACCTTTTTTTCAAATTTTAGTTCAATTGTACTCAATTCTGCTAATGATACAACATCATTAATTTTGCTTGAGTCTATCTTTCTGACTAGTGTTTCTTGCATTTTGCAATTTTCCTAGAATCTTTTGATTGTTATCGAAAATCGAGAAAAGAACAAGAAGCTCATCAGAGATACCTTTTAGCGATTTCATTCTTAGAAAAGCTGTATAATCGTATTTTATGGACATAACTGTACATACGGGGTTCGTCCCATTCGTGACTCGTCATCTGTATGTACCTGCATTCTCCCCAGTGAGTCATTGATGGTGTTCCTACGGAGGCTTGAATCCAGTACCTATAGTTTCAAACGCCAAGGCGTTATCCACTATACCACTTGGACCACATGAGATTATGAGCGGCAATAAATTGTACTCGAAACGTTATCCAACTTATTAATACTGAATCGTCACCGTGTGATATGCGGAATAAACTAATCTATACTATGGAATCACTTAATATCCTTTTCTTTCCATAATTAAAACATAATTTAATTAGTTTTCGTTACTCACTACTCATCACTTAACACTTTAGATTATTGAAAGAAGTTTTACAATTTATCAATTTCCTTTCTGATGTGTGTGTGTGTGTGTGTGGTGAATCGACATAAATGATAGTTATAAAGTGTTGTCGATCTACAGGGATTTTCATCGGTTACATGTTTGACCACGTGTTAACGCATAAGTGATCTACAATCTCCCTCTTTGTAACCAGGAGGCTCTGGACTCAAACTCTAGGGGGTGGGTGCCTGTTGCTGAAGACTCCCAAAACTAAGATGAAACAGCTATTCAGTACTCCCAGCTGGTTTTCCGATAGTTCTCTAGCATGTATAAATCACCCCCATGAACCAAACCTTTAATAAAATTAGAGTTCAAGGGTCAGTGAATTACACCCCACTCGCCGAACTTGATGAATAGTCAACAGGCCTTCCTTATAAGCGGTAAGCTTTGGCTTTAATCCTTGATGTAGTCTTGCTGCTCAAATACAGCTGCTCTACTGTAACAACAGAAGGCAAGGGCCAGGAAACAGATCGTTTATTAAGGAAATCAACACATATTTAAGGATTTTCATGTACGTTATTATAGATTATTGTTAACAGAAAAACACAATCCTCTCATTGGTTGTTTCTCACAGAAAGTTAACCTTGCATCTCTTTGTGGCTGTTTCTTGAATGTCAGATCATCTATATGTTAACTGTATCCGCCTGTGCAAAGCCTTTGTTCTCATTTTTCTCATGACCCATATTGGGGACATAAATACTGACGCAAATTAATGTCTACCAATTAGGCTAGCAGCCAGTTCTCACCACACTATGATCTTTGATTCCCAATTGTTCTGTAACTGGCATATATCGATTCGTGACAAAATCTGCATTGAAATCAGTATGATTCTCTTTATCGTGATTGACCTTTCTTGGTGTTTTCCATTTGCAGGTGCATCGGTGGTTCCATGGTAGAGTTGTAGCCAACTTTTCGTGTGATTTAGGCTTTGACTCCAGCCTGCCAAACTCTAAATCCTCGCTTAACTGGGGGAGGGATAAACAGGGAAGGTTTGAAGCCCTACATACATATATGTTCCACTCAGAACACAAACCAGTGGTGAGAACAAAAAAACTGCTGGATTTCATCATGAGCAAACTGACATCAGTTAGAGAACCATTGAAAAACCAGGGAGTAGTAGACAGTCGTTTCGCTCCAGTTTTAGGAGTCTTTATCATTACGCACCCACTCCACTGCCAGGATTCGAACCCATGGCATGCTGGTTACAAGGCGGCTAGTGACCTTATAGACCATTATAAACCACTGGGAGCCAACCCAATGGCCAGTGCTCATGAATTCCAATTTCCGCTAATTCAATTCAATTCAATCCAATCCAATCCTGTAACCAGTTAAATCCCTGCAAACCAACAACAAGCGAAAAAAGCATTGATGTGTGTGCGCCGATGGCATAGCAGTAGAATGTTCGCCAATCACGCCTCATATGGTGATCGTCTGTGGTTCGATCCCCCCAGCCACCGCGATGCACTCCTTTACCTCGCTAAGCTAGTAATAAGACTGTTAAAGAGAGAGAGAGAGGGTTGGGCATGAGGCTGGCTAGCAACCCCATCCCGTAAAAATCAACACTGTGCTAGTGAAACTTTAAAGCTCTAGCTTGAAGACCTCTATGTTCCACTAGGAAAGTAAAGGAATAAAAAGAAAGCGTTGATGAGAGGTTATGCAAGAAGAAGAATACCTTACTCACTTGTATCTTCTTCTTTCTTCTAATGTGCTCATTTGTTTTTTTCTTTTTCGTTTTTTACCACAGGATAAAATCACAAGATTGCAATCATCTTATAATAATTATGATACTTTGTCTGTTTCATTAAATTAACTTTCTAATATGTAAAAGTGTGACCTGAATGACTTTTTCTAGTGTATCATGCATTTCACAGCTGATTCGAATAGAAATCTGAGCGCTAGATAAAGAGTATTAATAGATTTCTACTGGTTCAGTAGTCCATTAAATGAAGTATTTTCAGTTAGGCATACTGTTAAAATACATACACACGTGCACAGGAGCATACACGCGTACACGCACACACAGATATATGTGAATACTTTAGAAAAAGTCGTGTACAGTTTACTTCATCATCTAAGTTAGGTTAAGGTGCTTGACTTCAAGCCAATAGAGTTCATCAGAGATTCAAATGGTATCCCGACTGTTGAGAGATCAGGATCTGGACGTTTTACTTATTATTCTACCTCTTATTATTATTATTGTTCCCTTAGGTTCCTAGTGGAACATACGGTTTCAACTGTGTGTCGGTGGCACAGTGGTTAGGACTCTCTCCGACCATGCATATGGTCCGGGGTTCGAGCCCTCGCCTACGCAGACCTGATATCGTGGTCGGCCTGCGAAATTTGGGCTACCGATATCCACGCTGAAAATTCCATACTTGTACCGAAAATACAGTGTGGAATCAAGCTGTAATAAAAAAAAACTGCACGGCTCCACTTGCCACTTCTGTCTTGCTTCTGCTGTACTTTTCACCTAAATCCATGTTGCTCCATACTCTTTCAACTCCTCTTCACACGATCTCCATATCATCCCTGCATCGACGACCTACTCGCCGCTTCCCTTTCACTCCTCATAATATTATACCATCTGAAGACAATGAAAACACCTATGGTCAGAAACAGCTAGCCTGTACAAGTCCTGCATGTTCATCTGTCACGTTTTACAGACTCCATAAATAAGGGGGTAGAACGAACTGCGACTTAGTACGCATGTTCTTTAATCGATAGTCAGATATCATACTCCACCACGCCTAAGATAATGACAGAAGTTGAGATTAGCTGAGAATAAGCTGAACAACTCTCTACTACAGGTTAGATCTTACTCAATATTAAACAATAATAATAGTACTAATACTAATAGGTATGGTGATAATAAAGACTTACTCCATCATTGCAGCATCCAACTGGTAGAGAACACCCTTCAAAGTATCTCTGTGTGTAGTTAACGGGGGCCAATGACGGTAAGCAGTAAATATTGCAATAGTTGCATCCATTTCGTCATCAGGAAGTGTAGGCTGAAATAAGAGTGGAAAATTTGTGAGGTGTTAAAAAAAATAGCGGCTTCTTCCACTTGTTGGGTAAATGTTTCGTGATTAGATAGAAAATTTTAACACAAATGGAAAAAACCAAAAATAACAAAATAGAAGAACTCTGTGTATAATGACATAAAATCATATATTCCTCATGAGAGTCTGCTTAGTGTCAAGGGTCAAAGGAGTAATTAATGACATGGATTTCTACTGTCGATATATGGATGATACATTTCTGGTTATGAAAGATGAGAATGATGCAATGAACATCCTTGACAAGTTTAATGATGCACATTCAGCAATAAACTTTACCATAGAGAAAGAAATTAATGACAGCACCTGATTCCTAGACGTCTTTATGGCAAGGAAAGAAGATGGTACACTAAGAAGGAGTGCGTATAGGAAACCTACAACAGCAGGTTAGTGCACTCAGTTTTTTGAGTTTTGTACCTTTGAAATATAAACGCGTAACCTGGTAAAGTGTCTGGTTCATAGGGCTAGGTTAATCTGTTCAGACGACTGCTTCAATGGGGAACTTAAGATTATTAGAGAATTACTTAGAAAAAACGGTTATCCAGATAAATTCATTGAGAAAAATATGAATTCAGCAGCACCTAGGAGAGTCAGTATGGCAACAGTTCTGAAAAAACCACTATTCATAAAATTACAGTTCCTCGGTGACAACAACAGCGAAATAATAACACAGCGCCTAAGAATGCAGTTTAAAGAGCCTATTATGCAGCAGAGGTATGTTGTCTCTTCACAACCACCCGTACTCTATGTTCGAGAAATTAGGATAAACTACCTAAATTCGCCTCCTCTATGTGTATCTACCAGTTTGATTGCAGCTCCGGAGCCAGCTACATTGGGCGTACAATTAGGCAAGTTCATCGTGGTATTTCCGAACATCATCCAACGTGGTTAAGCAAGGGACAAAAAAGATCTATTCGTAGTTCTATTTTAGCCCACCTCGTTGATACTGAGCATAAGATCGATGTGAATACAGCATTTAAAATTATCTATCGCATTCCGACTCATCTTAATTTTGCTCTGAGAGTTCGTCTTCTACATACAACAGCTGGAGCAATAGGAATTCACCTGAAGAAGCCAAGCCTATGTGTACAGAAAAATTTGTACAGCCACTTTCCCTACCGCGGCCATCGTCACAAGAATGCATAAACAGGACTACATCGCACCCCTCCCCCTAAAACTATAAAAATTATAATTGTCTAAATTATTTATTTTATTTTTATTTATTTTGACCACTTCATCTTCAATTTACGTGTTATCCTTGTAAAATTAATTTATTCTATCCATTTCTACCTTTTAATTGTGTGTACTGATTTTCTTTCCTTTAATTATTAAACCATTGACATTTTGACACTGTTTAATTATTGTTAACAAACATATCGCCACTTGATTGGTAAATGGTTGTATATTGTAATAAAAATGCTACACGTGTATATTAGAGTAGAGCCATAGTGAGATGAGGATCTAATTGAAAAGTAAATATTTCTTCGCCAGCTCAATCTTTCTGTTTTCTAAATGTCTAAATGGGGATTTTTTCTATATTGAAAAGTCAGGTTAACAAGGCTTCAGTGAGTACAGTCTTATTCTACACTTCCGTGACACGCCTGTCTGAGAATGTACGGTGACTTTGCATATTCATCGTTTATCGCTAGAGTACCGCTTGCATCCAGTGACATCGTAGTGTAATTAATTCTGAAATTCAGTGGTGTATTTCGATTTGATGCAGATCGTTTTGCAATAAGTGTTGGAGGAGCACAGGTTTCAGTTGTTGCCTAAGACATTTGATATGTTATGCCATCATCACAACTCCTATAGCGTAAACTGCTTGCTATTAGGTAGAAAAACATCGAAGAGATAACCATCCCATCCCTTAAAAATAAATACCATTGCTATTGAAAGAGCCCGAATAGCTCAGTGGTAACGTCTCTGACCGCAGTGCACTGGGTGACCCAGGTTCAAATCTCAGGAAGGGCATGACTTCCTTCAAGACTGCAGATACGCCTTGCTCACTAGTGAGTGTCGACAAGCACGAAACCCCTAGGTGCAGTCGAGACTTTCCTCCAATTGTGCGTCGGTGGTTTAGAGCTGGAATGTTTGCCAGTCACGCACGTGGTCCAGGGTTCAAACCCCGACTGACGCATTCCTTAGACTTACTAAGCCGGGTAATAAGGCTGGTGGTAAAGCGAGAAGGTTGGCTGTGAGGCTAGAAACTGAACACCCGCTAAAATAAAACCACTTCTACTGAAACTTCACGGAAACAACACGGAATTTCTGAGCGAATGATAGCTGTCTGTCTGTCTGGACTCAACATAAGACTTCGCACTGAAGTGCACCAGTTCGAGTTGCCACCTTCCAAATACCACACAAAACAAGAAGACGAGACAAGAAGATGAGTGAAGAGAATCAATAGTTTCACAAGTATAAGAGTGAAACAGAATGCATAATAATAGTAGAAAGGAATATGAAAGATTATAGAGACTGAATACATCTCCGCTTGCCAGTGACAACGATTTTGAGCCATGTCACCACCTATTGTCTCCAGCTATTGATTCTTAGAGTCAGTCCCGAGGGCCCCAACCCGGAAGTCTCCATCGCCCTACCTGACTCAGTTTAACTGTCAAGGATTTCATGGATTGATGAGGCCATGTTTTTGTTTGGCCACCCACCACTTACTCTTTTCCAACCTGCACCTATATCAGCTAGTAATGGCCGTCGGCGGAGGAGGCGATGGTTAGGCATGCGCAGAACGTCACCTAGCCATCTCACTCAATCTATGTAACTTTATAGCCTCGTCGATTGATTTTCCCTCTTTGTCTGCCCAACACTCTACGCCTAACGTCAACATTACTTACCTTATTATATACCACCTAACGTGAGAAAGAGATCGTAGACATCTATGATCAAAAACAGTCAACCTTTTCATGTCTTCAACAACTCGTATTGACCATGTTTCAGAGCCATAGAGAAGGACGGAGCGGACTGGTGAGCAGTACACACGTCCCTTGGTTGAAGATAAAGTGTACATAGTCTCTCTGTATAGAGATATCATATTCCAAATAACCACTCGGTTACCAAGTCTCTTGTCTTCTACCGTTACACCAAAGCCTTATTTGGAGGATCAATATATACTGATAGTTATTATTAGATGATTGCAGGCAGTCAGTAGGAAGCCCTGTCTGACGTTACCACTGAGCTATTCCATTTGCATATAGTTGGCAATGTGGTAAACCTACTGTGTGTGTGTGTGTGTGTGACGGCGCTTGAGTGATACTACTTGGTTGTTCAAACCTTCTCATGGGATTTGAACTAGTGACTCAATAGTCAACCATCTAGTAAAAAATATATCACAGATTTCTACTGCAAAAACAGCTTACGGAATATTGACCCCTAATCCTCTTGCCTGACTTGATGGACTTCTTACTAGAACCCCAGTTAACTTCCGGTATCAAAGGACCAGTCGCTAGTGAGCATCAGATTAATTATCAAGTGTCAGTCTGCGGGGAGTGCGTCGGTGGCATAGCGGTTAGGACGCTTGCCGACCATGCACATGGTCCGGGGTTCGATCCCCGGCCACTGACGCACTCCTTTACCTCGCTAAGAAACCACAAATGATGATGGTGAAGAGGAAAGGTTGGGCATGAGGCTGGCTAGCAACCCCATCCTATAAAAATAAATACTGCTGCAGCCAATAGCTTGGAGTTCTATGTTCCACTGGGGAACGTGAAGAGAAAAAAAGTCTGCGGGGACATGACTGCTTACAGGATTGATCACACCTTGTCAACATCAGTTAGAGAACCATTGAAAAACCAAGTCAGGCAAGAGTTGCGCTAGATCTATATATATCAGGAATTGGTAGAAGATGAAATTCATGGACCACTGGGTTACCTCCTAGCGGCTTAATGGCCTACAAGCTTGCTAGCCACCTTGTAACCAACAGATCGTTGTGGGTTCAAACCCTAGCGGTGGGTCCGCCAGAACTGGGATGAAGCGACTGACAAGTACTCTCCAGATTTTCTATGGTTCTCTAAGCGATGCCAGTCAGCTCATGACCAATCCTTTAACCAATCAAATCCCTGCAAACCAACACTTGACAATTAATCTTACTTACACTTCTATCGACAGTTTCCATCTGTACCAAAGATACATGGATGATACTTTCATCATATGTGACGACAATACCGACATTGAATTGACAACTAAGGAGTTTAACAGCTGCCATCATGCCATCAAGTTCACGTCAAAATCAGAGATTAACTCGGAATTCCACTTTCTGGATGTTTTTCTGAAGAGGAGATCTGATGGTTCTCTTCAAAGATCTATCTACAGGAAACCAACATGGAATGGTCAGTACACAAATTCCCAAAGCTGGGTCCCTTTGAGAAGAAAGAGAAATCTGATCCACTCCTTATCCTCAACAATAACGAGGATATGTTCCAGTGATACAACCGATTGGGAACTGGAGCGACTAAGACAAGTTCTCATAGAGAATGGATATCTTCCAAGATTTATCGGGAAAAACATGAAAGAATCCAGACGGTGCCAGAGATACTGCTATTTATGAGTGCTGAATTTAAAGGTTATACCACAGCTGAGATCCTGAAGAATCGCTTATGCAGATCACTAAGGAAAGCCTTCTTTATGGCTGAGCTACGTATCAATTTCTACAGCCGATAAATGATCAACGGATGTGTGAAGGATAAACGGCCGCTTTGAACGGGTCACATCAATGTGTGTTTATAAATTCACCTGCTCGTGTAGAGCTAGTCATATTGGTCGCACAAAGCGCACGCTTTTGCAAACGCATCTCTAAACATTATCCGGCATGATTAGCAAAGGGACAATGTAAGACAATTACTAGCTCAATTCTCAAGCATTTGGTGAACTCGGGCCACGTAGCTCCACCAGAGTCGTCGTTCAAGATCATCTACAAAGTGAAGCCAAATGGTACAAAGGGCATCAGGTTTCAGCTTTTGTGTATGGCGGAGGCGCTGGCAATTCATCAATACAACCCTGAACTCTGTATACAGAAAAAGTTTGTCCAGTCTCTTATTCTACCTTGTTCTTAACCTCTTCACTAATCGTTCCCTGTAAAACATTTTGATTTTTCTTTTGTTTTTTAATTTTACTTTTAATTTGCTTTTGCTTTAATAATTAATTCACTGTTATCAATTTCATATGCTCCTTTTGTATATTTTCACAGCCTCTTCACACTTGTTAAATTGGCATTCAACTACCACCTTTATTCCCACTCAAGAGCAATTTTAACCTTATCAAATTTCTATCTTTGTGCCATCGTTGAGTGCCATGTGATTTACAACTTTTAATTCTTTTCACTTCTAAAGCCACCTCTGAGTAGTTATACCAATTATGTCACCCTAGCCCCTGTTACTCAGTAATAGACTACTATATACTTTTTTTGGTAAGTATAAATACGACTGTACAGTCGTCAGCCTCTGAAGATGATTTCGTCGATAAAGAAGCGTTTTCTTCGCTGGCTGAATCTGTCTTTTTGATTTTCTTCATGACTCAATGGGTATTTTGCAGTGATTAAAAGACAATATATCTGTGTGTTATTTAAGAAAATGCTTTATACAAAATGTGGTATCTGCCAAGCATGAATGTCAAAAAATTGATTACAGATTATAGATTATAACTTTTATCAGCTTAAATGATTATGATATAGTGTGTGAGCTTATTTTGAAGCAGAATACATTTATATTGCATAAAGTTAACAACCAAAAATTGATTAGCTCATAATAAGAAATCAATATCATCAAAAAGTGACAGAGAGTAGAACACACTGGGTTTCTTTTTCATATTAACTAAATGATAATGAATGAAAGGAGGCATAGATAGCTTGTGTGAGTGGAAAGTCACGAAGAGTACAATATCATCAGATCGAAATAAAAACACTGTTGTTCTAAATTTTTATGTGGTAATCATAAAAGTTTTAAGTACTATTTTTATTTTTCATTTTGACTACAGCTTGATTCCACAATGTATTTTTGGCACAAGTATGGAATTTTCAGCATGGATATCGGTAGCCCAAATTCTGCAAGCCGACCATAGATATCAGGTGTGCGTCGGTAGGGGATCGAACCTCAGACCATGTGCATGGACGGCGAGAGTTCTAACCACCGTGCTATCGACGCCACTAGGTGAGTAATAAAACTTCCAGGACCTATGTATGTGCACCACCACTGCAGTTAACTATGCCAATGATTAAAACATAAATTCGACTGAAAACAAACTCTTTTTTTCTTTAATAATCCTAACCAGGATTCTTAAATTTACTTTTTTTTATGCATAATGAACAAGAGGGCAAACTAAAGAGAGACTGTAATTTGTAAAAGCATTTGATTCATCATCACACAGTTCAGCTTAAAAAGGTGAATCTTACCGCCATTTATAACTTGTGATTAGTTAAAGCAGAATGTGCAGAAGAAATTTAAGATTTTAGTTATTTCTCAAACACGCCTTACTGAACTGTACCTTGTAATACAGACTGAAAGTGCTGAAGAACAGTAAAATCTGTATAAAAAGCAGTAGTGTATTGACCTGTACAGGTTTTGAAACACAGGCTAATAATAACACTAGTTTATAATGTGATGAAATAACCAGAGTCTGTCATAAGAAAATGATGACCGCTTCCTTAGAATATAATTATATAACCAGGGTTACCCACGGTTATATTAATAGGTTGTTAATTACTCCCATGAAGGATAAGGTGAAGAACTAGCTGAAGTAATTAGACTTTTAGACTTACTAGCACAGTAAACTTCCCAGATAATAGTTCCCTTCGAACGCCATCTTCTAAAGGATCAATTGAGTCTACATTTTCTGTATACCGCATTCGCTATAGAAAGACAAAAGATATAGGCAGCAGCAATATCATACCTGAGATGTTTTTAAAAAAAGTATTTATTATACGTCACTCACAAGTAAAAAGAAGTCAGACTACCAAGGATAATGTCTGACAGCTTGATGTAAGTTATTTAATAAAATAGGGCCTTGTTACAGCTTTGTGGATCGATACACAATTAAAACCTCCAGTCTCTCTACTACTACTGCAATAGTGCATGGTTGCGTTTAAAACACGATTCCAGACATGTGAAAGTTGCCGATACCCGAAAGTATGTGTTTGAATTATCTTTTGAAACAACTTTGCCACAAGTGTCAATGCCAAACGTGAAGATAGCAGTAAAAAGAAATCTAGAGGTGGAATCCGTAACTTTATATAATGTTTTATGTGAGTGGATAGAAGACAAAATCAGAGGTATCAAAACCATAAACATTTACTTTGTTAGTGTTCGAAAATGTTAGCATCGAGGATTAATAATCAGCGAAATGAAATAATTTGTACGCAGTCTAATGGAAAGTCCTCAAATTAATATTTGCAGGCCAGTCACACCAGTGTTCAAATGAACAGAAAAAGGTGGGTTATTATTCAAGCTAACAAGAAATGTTTAGGCGGTTTATATTAACGAATTATGCAGACAAACATGTTATTCAACTGGAGGTTTTAATAACATACAGGATTACCAAGTTGTTACTCAAGACAATTAAATTTCAGAACTTCAAGTGACGCCCAAAATAATAAATTCTCAGGGCAATAAGAATTCATAATCACTACATATCTAATTCATGGAGAAAACTACTGTACAACTTTGCAAATTCAATATCACATTTCAGACAATATTTGTATTATTACGCAAAACATATATGTCATTTATTTTGAGAGCGAAGTATCAGTTTTGAGTATTGCACCTATGGAATTAAGGCGAAGCCCTTAATTTGCAAAATCAGGCTGGAGGATAACCTAATTTTATACATTCTCCAGCTTTCAAGCCATTAATAAATTCATAAGTTTTCACTTACAATCTTCCCCGTCATTTAAATTTCACATTAAACTATACCTTGTTAGCTTTGTATAATTCCACAGCACGTTCAACATCTCTTTTACGAGCCCTGAGGTAGAGATGAGCGGCTTTCTCAGCTTCATCTTGTTGAATGTTTGTTCCACCGGGTAAACTCTTGACTTTTGTGATAAATGCTTGTATTTCCTGGGAAAAAAGATACTCACTAGAAGACTTTCACATACTGAGCTGCTTAAATCTTCAGGACTAGTCATAACAAACATATGACGACACTCCCCAACCTTCAAAACAAAATAACGAAAATTAACGCGCCAGGCTTTTGAAACCAGCGGCTTGAGCATGAACTCGCCCTTGACTATTTATTTTAAGCAGTATAACACAGAAGCGACAACTATGAAACACACTAGAAAACTTCATCTTCTAGGAGAAAGAGACGTATACACTGAAATTTTAACGTGTATAGGATAAAATTATTGGGTTAGAACATCTGCTAGAAGTGCTCAGCGGCTATATCAGGTACCTGAGATAAGTCATTTGATATACAAAATAAGTAGGAGAGACCTGTGTGCCGCACCTTGTGGCACTCCGCCACGGACTGCTGTCCAAGAGTAAAGTTTCGAGTTGTTTTTGACCCTATGCCCCCTATCCATGAGGAATCTCTATTCCAGAATAGTTAGCTACCATTGATACTCTGGTGTCTCCCCATTTGCGGATAGATCTTTCGCCTTTTACTAAATATTTCCGTGGGGAGGCACAATACAATGAGTCTTGTCTCATTTTTTCAGCTCTGTCTTCCGACAGAGTATTTTTAGTGCGTCGGTGGCACAGCGGTTAGGACTCTCGCCGTCCATGCACATGGTCCGGGGTTCGAGCCCGCACCGACGCACACCTGATATCTATGGTCGGCCTGCGAAATTTGGGCTACCGATATCCATGCTGAAAATTCCATACTTGTACCGAAAATACAGTGTGGAATCAAGCTGTGAATCAAAAAATCAAAAAAAAAATACCAAGACTTTCCAACTTCCTCAGTAGTCTTTTGTGAGGCACTTTATCGAAGGCTTCACTGAAGTCTGTGAAGACGACTTCGACGTGTCTTCTATTGTCCCTTGATTTGACCCAGCTTCCTACTGCAGTGAGAAGATTTGGCAGGCATGAGAGATTTCCTCGGAAGCCATGCCGTACTGTGAATAACAAGTTGTTGTTTTCCAGATATGCCATGATACTTTTCTTGATGATTCTTTCAAGTGTCTTGATCAAAGTGCTAGTGAGACTAATATGCCTATCGTTTGAAGGGCTTTGTCTTGATCCCCCTTTGTGGATGTGGGTTACTATGGCGTCTTTTCAGTCACTCACTTATAGTCCATTCAGGAGAGATAGCTTGAAGATTGTGGTCAACGGGCAAGCTATGTGAGCTGATAGCTCCTTGAGAAGACTTAGATAAAGATTATCAGGACCCACTGATTTCTTGGCACCTCGTTTCATTAAGCAGTTGAGCACGATGTCTTTGCCGACGTCAACGCAGTTTATTTTGCGTTCCCCCAGTGCCGCCAAAGCTGATCCTACGGGGAGTGATAACTCCTGTGTTAAGACTTGGAAGAATTAGTCTGCCATTGCTTCTGCTTTTCTTGATCTTCTCCGATTGTTTCATTGTCATAAATCGGGGTTGGAACACCACTGGATGTTTTGTTCCTGAGGTTCATGTGCCAGAAAATTTTCTTGGGTTGTGCCTTTGCATTTTGAGCCAGATGTTTATTTTTTTTATTTTTTATTCATTTTTTTGATTACAGCTTGATTCCACAATGTATTTTTGGCACAAGTATGGAATTTTCAGCATGGATATCGGTAGCCCAAATTCTGCAAGCCGACCATAGATATCAGGTGTGCGTCGGTAGGGGATCGAACCTCAGACCATGTGCATGGACGGCGAGAGTTCTAACCACCGTGCTATCGACGCCACTAGGTGAGTAATAAAACTTCCAGGACCTATGTATGTGCACCACCACTGCAGTTAACTATGCCAATGATTAAAACATAAATTCGACTGAAAACAAACTCTTTTTTTCTTTAATAATCCTAACCAGGATTCTTAAATTTACTTTTTTTTATGCATAATGAACAAGAGGGCAAACTAAAGAGAGACTGTAATTTGTAAAAGCATTTGATTCATCATCACACAGTTCAGCTTAAAAAGGTGAATCTTACCGCCATTTATAACTTGTGATTAGTTAAAGCAGAATGTGCAGAAGAAATTTAAGATTTTAGTTATTTCTCAAACACGCCTTACTGAACTGTACCTTGTAATACAGACTGAAAGTGCTGAAGAACAGTAAAATCTGTATAAAAAGCAGTAGTGTATTGACCTGTACAGGTTTTGAAACACAGGCTAATAATAACACTAGTTTATAATGTGATGAAATAACCAGAGTCTGTCATAAGAAAATGATGACCGCTTCCTTAGAATATAATTATATAACCAGGGTTACCCACGGTTATATTAATAGGTTGTTAATTACTCCCATGAAGGATAAGGTGAAGAACTAGCTGAAGTAATTAGACTTTTAGACTTACTAGCACAGTAAACTTCCCAGATAATAGTTCCCTTCGAACGCCATCTTCTAAAGGATCAATTGAGTCTACATTTTCTGTATACCGCATTCGCTATAGAAAGACAAAAGATATAGGCAGCAGCAATATCATACCTGAGATGTTTTTAAAAAAAGTATTTATTATACGTCACTCACAAGTAAAAAGAAGTCAGACTACCAAGGATAATGTCTGACAGCTTGATGTAAGTTATTTAATAAAATAGGGCCTTGTTACAGCTTTGTGGATCGATACACAATTAAAACCTCCAGTCTCTCTACTACTACTGCAATAGTGCATGGTTGCGTTTAAAACACGATTCCAGACATGTGAAAGTTGCCGATACCCGAAAGTATGTGTTTGAATTATCTTTTGAAACAACTTTGCCACAAGTGTCAATGCCAAACGTGAAGATAGCAGTAAAAAGAAATCTAGAGGTGGAATCCGTAACTTTATATAATGTTTTATGTGAGTGGATAGAAGACAAAATCAGAGGTATCAAAACCATAAACATTTACTTTGTTAGTGTTCGAAAATGTTAGCATCGAGGATTAATAATCAGCGAAATGAAATAATTTGTACGCAGTCTAATGGAAAGTCCTCAAATTAATATTTGCAGGCCAGTCACACCAGTGTTCAAATGAACAGAAAAAGGTGGGTTATTATTCAAGCTAACAAGAAATGTTTAGGCGGTTTATATTAACGAATTATGCAGACAAACATGTTATTCAACTGGAGGTTTTAATAACATACAGGATTACCAAGTTGTTACTCAAGACAATTAAATTTCAGAACTTCAAGTGACGCCCAAAATAATAAATTCTCAGGGCAATAAGAATTCATAATCACTACATATCTAATTCATGGAGAAAACTACTGTACAACTTTGCAAATTCAATATCACATTTCAGACAATATTTGTATTATTACGCAAAACATATATGTCATTTATTTTGAGAGCGAAGTATCAGTTTTGAGTATTGCACCTATGGAATTAAGGCGAAGCCCTTAATTTGCAAAATCAGGCTGGAGGATAACCTAATTTTATACATTCTCCAGCTTTCAAGCCATTAATAAATTCATAAGTTTTCACTTACAATCTTCCCCGTCATTTAAATTTCACATTAAACTATACCTTGTTAGCTTTGTATAATTCCACAGCACGTTCAACATCTCTTTTACGAGCCCTGAGGTAGAGATGAGCGGCTTTCTCAGCTTCATCTTGTTGAATGTTTGTTCCACCGGGTAAACTCTTGACTTTTGTGATAAATGCTTGTATTTCCTGGGAAAAAAGATACTCACTAGAAGACTTTCACATACTGAGCTGCTTAAATCTTCAGGACTAGTCATAACAAACATATGACGACACTCCCCAACCTTCAAAACAAAATAACGAAAATTAACGCGCCAGGCTTTTGAAACCAGCGGCTTGAGCATGAACTCGCCCTTGACTATTTATTTTAAGCAGTATAACACAGAAGCGACAACTATGAAACACACTAGAAAACTTCATCTTCTAGGAGAAAGAGACGTATACACTGAAATTTTAACGTGTATAGGATAAAATTATTGGGTTAGAACATCTGCTAGAAGTGCTCAGCGGCTATATCAGGTACCTGAGATAAGTCATTTGATATACAAAATAAGTAGGAGAGACCTGTGTGCCGCACCTTGTGGCACTCCGCCACGGACTGCTGTCCAAGAGTAAAGTTTCGAGTTGTTTTTGACCCTATGCCCCCTATCCATGAGGAATCTCTATTCCAGAATAGTTAGCTACCATTGATACTCTGGTGTCTCCCCATTTGCGGATAGATCTTTCGCCTTTTACTAAATATTTCCGTGGGGAGGCACAATACAATGAGTCTTGTCTCATTTTTTTCAGCTCTGTCTTCCGACAGAGTATTTTTAGTGCGTCGGTGGCACAGCGGTTAGGACTCTCGCCGTCCATGCACATGGTCCGGGGTTCGAGCCCGCACCGACGCACACCTGATATCTATGGTCGGCCTGCGAAATTTGGGCTACCGATATCCATGCTGAAAATTCCATACTTGTACCGAAAATACAGTGTGGAATCAAGCTGTGAATCAAAAAATCAAAAAAAAATACCAAGACTTTCCAACTTCCTCAGTAGTCTTTTGTGAGGCACTTTATCGAAGGCTTCACTGAAGTCTGTGAAGACGACTTCGACGTGTCTTCTATTGTCCCTTGATTTGACCCAGCTTCCTACTGCAGTGAGAAGATTTGGCAGGCATGAGAGATTTCCTCGGAAGCCATGCCGTACTGTGAATAACAAGTTGTTGTTTTCCAGATATGCCATGATACTTTTCTTGATGATTCTTTCAAGTGTCTTGATCAAAGTGCTAGTGAGACTAATATGCCTATCGTTTGAAGGGCTTTGTCTTGATCCCCCTTTGTGGATGTGGGTTACTATGGCGTCTTTTCAGTCACTCACTTATAGTCCATTCAGGAGAGATAGCTTGAAGATTGTGGTCAACGGGCAAGCTATGTGAGCTGATAGCTCCTTGAGAAGACTTAGATAAAGATTATCAGGACCCACTGATTTCTTGGCACCTCGTTTCATTAAGCAGTTGAGCACGATGTCTTTGCCGACGTCAACGCAGTTTATTTTGCGTTCCCCCAGTGCCGCCAAAGCTGATCCTACGGGGAGTGATAACTCCTGTGTTAAGACTTGGAAGAATTAGTCTGCCATTGCTTCTGCTTTTCTTGATCTTCTCCGATTGTTTCATTGTCATAAATCGGGGTTGGAACACCACTGGATGTTTTGTTCCTGAGGTTCATGTGCCAGAAAATTTTCTTGGGTTGTGCCTTTGCATTTTGAGCCAGATGTTTATTTTTTTTATTTTTTATTCATTTTTTTGATTACAGCTTGATTCCACAATGTATTTTTGGCACAAGTATGGAATTTTCAGCATGGATATCGGTAGCCCAAATTCTGCAAGCCGACCATAGATATCAGGTGTGCGTCGGTAGGGGATCGAACCTCAGACCATGTGCATGGACGGCGAGAGTTCTAACCACCGTGCTATCGACGCCACTAGGTGAGTAATAAAACTTCCAGGACCTATGTATGTGCACCACCACTGCAGTTAACTATGCCAATGATTAAAACATAAATTCGACTGAAAACAAACTCTTTTTTTCTTTAATAATCCTAACCAGGATTCTTAAATTTACTTTTTTTTATGCATAATGAACAAGAGGGCAAACTAAAGAGAGACTGTAATTTGTAAAAGCATTTGATTCATCATCACACAGTTCAGCTTAAAAAGGTGAATCTTACCGCCATTTATAACTTGTGATTAGTTAAAGCAGAATGTGCAGAAGAAATTTAAGATTTTAGTTATTTCTCAAACACGCCTTACTGAACTGTACCTTGTAATACAGACTGAAAGTGCTGAAGAACAGTAAAATCTGTATAAAAAGCAGTAGTGTATTGACCTGTACAGGTTTTGAAACACAGGCTAATAATAACACTAGTTTATAATGTGATGAAATAACCAGAGTCTGTCATAAGAAAATGATGACCGCTTCCTTAGAATATAATTATATAACCAGGGTTACCCACGGTTATATTAATAGGTTGTTAATTACTCCCATGAAGGATAAGGTGAAGAACTAGCTGAAGTAATTAGACTTTTAGACTTACTAGCACAGTAAACTTCCCAGATAATAGTTCCCTTCGAACGCCATCTTCTAAAGGATCAATTGAGTCTACATTTTCTGTATACCGCATTCGCTATAGAAAGACAAAAGATATAGGCAGCAGCAATATCATACCTGAGATGTTTTTAAAAAAAGTATTTATTATACGTCACTCACAAGTAAAAAGAAGTCAGACTACCAAGGATAATGTCTGACAGCTTGATGTAAGTTATTTAATAAAATAGGGCCTTGTTACAGCTTTGTGGATCGATACACAATTAAAACCTCCAGTCTCTCTACTACTACTGCAATAGTGCATGGTTGCGTTTAAAACACGATTCCAGACATGTGAAAGTTGCCGATACCCGAAAGTATGTGTTTGAATTATCTTTTGAAACAACTTTGCCACAAGTGTCAATGCCAAACGTGAAGATAGCAGTAAAAAGAAATCTAGAGGTGGAATCCGTAACTTTATATAATGTTTTATGTGAGTGGATAGAAGACAAAATCAGAGGTATCAAAACCATAAACATTTACTTTGTTAGTGTTCGAAAATGTTAGCATCGAGGATTAATAATCAGCGAAATGAAATAATTTGTACGCAGTCTAATGGAAAGTCCTCAAATTAATATTTGCAGGCCAGTCACACCAGTGTTCAAATGAACAGAAAAAGGTGGGTTATTATTCAAGCTAACAAGAAATGTTTAGGCGGTTTATATTAACGAATTATGCAGACAAACATGTTATTCAACTGGAGGTTTTAATAACATACAGGATTACCAAGTTGTTACTCAAGACAATTAAATTTCAGAACTTCAAGTGACGCCCAAAATAATAAATTCTCAGGGCAATAAGAATTCATAATCACTACATATCTAATTCATGGAGAAAACTACTGTACAACTTTGCAAATTCAATATCACATTTCAGACAATATTTGTATTATTACGCAAAACATATATGTCATTTATTTTGAGAGCGAAGTATCAGTTTTGAGTATTGCACCTATGGAATTAAGGCGAAGCCCTTAATTTGCAAAATCAGGCTGGAGGATAACCTAATTTTATACATTCTCCAGCTTTCAAGCCATTAATAAATTCATAAGTTTTCACTTACAATCTTCCCCGTCATTTAAATTTCACATTAAACTATACCTTGTTAGCTTTGTATAATTCCACAGCACGTTCAACATCTCTTTTACGAGCCCTGAGGTAGAGATGAGCGGCTTTCTCAGCTTCATCTTGTTGAATGTTTGTTCCACCGGGTAAACTCTTGACTTTTGTGATAAATGCTTGTATTTCCTGGGAAAAAAGATACTCACTAGAAGACTTTCACATACTGAGCTGCTTAAATCTTCAGGACTAGTCATAACAAACATATGACGACACTCCCCAACCTTCAAAACAAAATAACGAAAATTAACGCGCCAGGCTTTTGAAACCAGCGGCTTGAGCATGAACTCGCCCTTGACTATTTATTTTAAGCAGTATAACACAGAAGCGACAACTATGAAACACACTAGAAAACTTCATCTTCTAGGAGAAAGAGACGTATACACTGAAATTTTAACGTGTATAGGATAAAATTATTGGGTTAGAACATCTGCTAGAAGTGCTCAGCGGCTATATCAGGTACCTGAGATAAGTCATTTGATATACAAAATAAGTAGGAGAGACCTGTGTGCCGCACCTTGTGGCACTCCGCCACGGACTGCTGTCCAAGAGTAAAGTTTCGAGTTGTTTTTGACCCTATGCCCCCTATCCATGAGGAATCTCTATTCCAGAATAGTTAGCTACCATTGATACTCTGGTGTCTCCCCATTTGCGGATAGATCTTTCGCCTTTTACTAAATATTTCCGTGGGGAGGCACAATACAATGAGTCTTGTCTCATTTTTTTCAGCTCTGTCTTCCGACAGAGTATTTTTAGTGCGTCGGTGGCACAGCGGTTAGGACTCTCGCCGTCCATGCACATGGTCCGGGGTTCGAGCCCGCACCGACGCACACCTGATATCTATGGTCGGCCTGCGAAATTTGGGCTACCGATATCCATGCTGAAAATTCCATACTTGTACCGAAAATACAGTGTGGAATCAAGCTGTGAATCAAAAAATCAAAAAAAAATACCAAGACTTTCCAACTTCCTCAGTAGTCTTTTGTGAGGCACTTTATCGAAGGCTTCACTGAAGTCTGTGAAGACGACTTCGACGTGTCTTCTATTGTCCCTTGATTTGACCCAGCTTCCTACTGCAGTGAGAAGATTTGGCAGGCATGAGAGATTTCCTCGGAAGCCATGCCGTACTGTGAATAACAAGTTGTTGTTTTCCAGATATGCCATGATACTTTTCTTGATGATTCTTTCAAGTGTCTTGATCAAAGTGCTAGTGAGACTAATATGCCTATCGTTTGAAGGGCTTTGTCTTGATCCCCCTTTGTGGATGTGGGTTACTATGGCGTCTTTTCAGTCACTCACTTATAGTCCATTCAGGAGAGATAGCTTGAAGATTGTGGTCAACGGGCAAGCTATGTGAGCTGATAGCTCCTTGAGAAGACTTAGATAAAGATTATCAGGACCCACTGATTTCTTGGCACCTCGTTTCATTAAGCAGTTGAGCACGATGTCTTTGCCGACGTCAACGCAGTTTATTTTGCGTTCCCCCAGTGCCGCCAAAGCTGATCCTACGGGGAGTGATAACTCCTGTGTTAAGACTTGGAAGAATTAGTCTGCCATTGCTTCTGCTTTTCTTGATCTTCTCCGATTGTTTCATTGTCATAAATCGGGGTTGGAACACCACTGGATGTTTTGTTCCTGAGGTTCATGTGCCAGAAAATTTTCTTGGGTTGTGCCTTTGCATTTTGAGCCAGATGTTTATTTTTTTTATTTTTTATTCATTTTTTTGATTACAGCTTGATTCCACAATGTATTTTTGGCACAAGTATGGAATTTTCAGCATGGATATCGGTAGCCCAAATTCTGCAAGCCGACCATAGATATCAGGTGTGCGTCGGTAGGGGATCGAACCTCAGACCATGTGCATGGACGGCGAGAGTTCTAACCACCGTGCTATCGACGCCACTAGGTGAGTAATAAAACTTCCAGGACCTATGTATGTGCACCACCACTGCAGTTAACTATGCCAATGATTAAAACATAAATTCGACTGAAAACAAACTCTTTTTTTCTTTAATAATCCTAACCAGGATTCTTAAATTTACTTTTTTTTATGCATAATGAACAAGAGGGCAAACTAAAGAGAGACTGTAATTTGTAAAAGCATTTGATTCATCATCACACAGTTCAGCTTAAAAAGGTGAATCTTACCGCCATTTATAACTTGTGATTAGTTAAAGCAGAATGTGCAGAAGAAATTTAAGATTTTAGTTATTTCTCAAACACGCCTTACTGAACTGTACCTTGTAATACAGACTGAAAGTGCTGAAGAACAGTAAAATCTGTATAAAAAGCAGTAGTGTATTGACCTGTACAGGTTTTGAAACACAGGCTAATAATAACACTAGTTTATAATGTGATGAAATAACCAGAGTCTGTCATAAGAAAATGATGACCGCTTCCTTAGAATATAATTATATAACCAGGGTTACCCACGGTTATATTAATAGGTTGTTAATTACTCCCATGAAGGATAAGGTGAAGAACTAGCTGAAGTAATTAGACTTTTAGACTTACTAGCACAGTAAACTTCCCAGATAATAGTTCCCTTCGAACGCCATCTTCTAAAGGATCAATTGAGTCTACATTTTCTGTATACCGCATTCGCTATAGAAAGACAAAAGATATAGGCAGCAGCAATATCATACCTGAGATGTTTTTAAAAAAAGTATTTATTATACGTCACTCACAAGTAAAAAGAAGTCAGACTACCAAGGATAATGTCTGACAGCTTGATGTAAGTTATTTAATAAAATAGGGCCTTGTTACAGCTTTGTGAATCGATACACAATTAAAACCTCCAGTCTCTCTACTACTACTGCAATAGTGCATGGTTGCGTTTAAAACACGATTCCAGACATGTGAAAGTTGCCGATACCCGAAAGTATGTGTTTGAATTATCTTTTGAAACAACTTTGCCACAAGTGTCAATGCCAAACGTGAAGATAGCAGTAAAAAGAAATCTAGAGGTGGAATCCGTAACTTTATATAATGTTTTATGTGAGTGGATAGAAGACAAAATCAGAGGTATCAAAACCATAAACATTTACTTTGTTAGTGTTCGAAAATGTTAGCATCGAGGATTAATAATCAGCGAAATGAAATAATTTGTACGCAGTCTAATGGAAAGTCCTCAAATTAATATTTGCAGGCCAGTCACACCAGTGTTCAAATGAACAGAAAAAGGTGGGTTATTATTCAAGCTAACAAGAAATGTTTAGGCGGTTTATATTAACGAATTATGCAGACAAACATGTTATTCAACTGGAGGTTTTAATAACATACAGGATTACCAAGTTGTTACTCAAGACAATTAAATTTCAGAACTTCAAGTGACGCCCAAAATAATAAATTCTCAGGGCAATAAGAATTCATAATCACTACATATCTAATTCATGGAGAAAACTACTGTACAACTTTGCAAATTCAATATCACATTTCAGACAATATTTGTATTATTACGCAAAACATATATGTCATTTATTTTGAGAGCGAAGTATCAGTTTTGAGTATTGCACCTATGGAATTAAGGCGAAGCCCTTAATTTGCAAAATCAGGCTGGAGGATAACCTAATTTTATACATTCTCCAGCTTTCAAGCCATTAATAAATTCATAAGTTTTCACTTACAATCTTCCCCGTCATTTAAATTTCACATTAAACTATACCTTGTTAGCTTTGTATAATTCCACAGCACGTTCAACATCTCTTTTACGAGCCCTGAGGTAGAGATGAGCGGCTTTCTCAGCTTCATCTTGTTGAATGTTTGTTCCACCGGGTAAACTCTTGACTTTTGTGATAAATGCTTGTATTTCCTGGGAAAAAAGATACTCACTAGAAGACTTTCACATACTGAGCTGCTTAAATCTTCAGGACTAGTCATAACAAACATATGACGACACTCCCCAACCTTCAAAACAAAATAACGAAAATTAACGCGCCAGGCTTTTGAAACCAGCGGCTTGAGCATGAACTCGCCCTTGACTATTTATTTTAAGCAGTATAACACAGAAGCGACAACTATGAAACACACTAGAAAACTTCATCTTCTAGGAGAAAGAGACGTATACACTGAAATTTTAACGTGTATAGGATAAAATTATTGGGTTAGAACATCTGCTAGAAGTGCTCAGCGGCTATATCAGGTACCTGAGATAAGTCATTTGATATACAAAATAAGTAGGAGAGACCTGTGTGCCGCACCTTGTGGCACTCCGCCACGGACTGCTGTCCAAGAGCAAAGTTTCGAGTTGTTTTTGACCCTATGCCCCCTATCCATGAGGAATCTCTATTCCAGAATAGTTAGCTACCATTGATACTCTGGTGTCTCCCCATTTGCGGATAGATCTTTCGCCTTTTACTAAATATTTCCGTGGGGAGGCACAATACAATGAGTCTTGTCTCATTTTTTTTCAGCTCTGTCTTCCGACAGAGTATTTTTAGTGCGTCGGTGGCACAGCGGTTAGGACTCTCGCCGTCCATGCACATGGTCCGGGGTTCGAGCCCGCACCGACGCACACCTGATATCTATGGTCGGCCTGCGAAATTTGGGCTACCGATATACATGCTGAAAATTCCATACTTGTACCGAAAATACAGTGTGGAATCAAGCTGTGAATCAAAAAATCAAAAAAAAATACCAAGACTTTCCAACTTCCTCAGTAGTCTTTTGTGAGGCACTTTATCGAAGGCTTCACTGAAGTCTGTGAAGACGACTTCGACGTGTCTTCTATTGTCCCTTGATTTGACCCAGCTTCCTACTGCAGTGAGAAGATTTGGCAGGCATGAGAGATTTCCTCGGAAGCCATGCCGTACTGTGAATAACAAGTTGTTGTTTTCCAGATATGCCATGATACTTTTCTTGATGATTCTTTCAAGTGTCTTGATCAAAGTGCTAGTGAGACTAATATGCCTATCGTTTGAAGGGCTTTGTCTTGATCCCCCTTTGTGGATGTGGGTTACTATGGCGTCTTTTCAGTCACTCACTTATAGTCCATTCAGGAGAGATAGCTTGAAGATTGTGGTCAACGGGCAAGCTATGTGAGCTGATAGCTCCTTGAGAAGACTTAGATAAAGATTATCAGGACCCACTGATTTCTTGGCACCTCGTTTCATTAAGCAGTTGAGCACGATGTATATATATATATATATATATATATATATTTCTTCCTGTTTCTGCAGGAACATACCAATTGTACAGGCATGGATAAGTTATTATATAAATTACACACAATTTAATGTATAATGAATTTACAGTTTGGTTGTTCTTTCTGACATTAGAGTCAGTAGGAACAGTCTGCTATAAGGTCTGTTTGTGTAGCACATAAAGAGATATAGAAATATTGTCTTCGCATTAACAAAAAACCCAGACATCAGTTGAATGTAATACAGATATCTGGGAAAAATAAAGCTTGAAGTCAATTCTCTTATATAACTTTGTTGTGAGCAGCACCCATGGCTTAAAGATTATTGATGTATTATGTTGAGATCAGTGATATATTTATTCCATTTTTTCAGCACTCTTATCGTAGTTTCATAACAGGAAAGAAATTTGATCGTGGATACGAAAACTAAATAAGGTCATGTTGGGTTGTTTTACTGCATCAAATGGTGCCGAGGTCGATTCCAGAATCCTCCATTTGCTCCATTTGTGTCTGCATGGCGGACTGTATTCGTAAGTTGAGTAAAACGTTGAAAACTGTTTGAAAACCAGTTGCTTCTTCATTTCAGATCATGAATACTCATTTACAGCATGTTCGCCAGCGTCTTCAAATGGTAGAATTGGATCGTTCATGGAATTTGAGTGGTTATGAGATAGACGGTTTGGAATTAATCCTCATTTCAGTTTAGATGCAGGGTTGTTCGACCTCGACCAGAAGATGAATAGGAGCAGCAAAATACCAGAAAGAGAAAGTATGTGAACATGAAAAGAACATTAATACATGATTCATTTATAAATGTTTATCTTAATTATACTTAAGTAAACATTTTTCTATATTGTATCTGCGTTTTGACGTATTTATGCGAAGTCTTAGAGTTTATTTAATGTCATAATGTGTATTAATAGTCTGAGCGTTTTTATTGTTCTATTGTTCTATTGTTCTATTGTCTTTGCCGACGTCAACGCAGTTTATTTTGCGTTCCCCCAGTGCCGCCAAAGCTGATCCTACGGGGAGTGATAACTCCTGTGTTAAGACTTGGAAGAATTAGTCTGCCATTGCTTCTGCTTTTCTTGATCTTCTCCGATTGTTTCATTGTCATAAATCGGGGTTGGAACACCACTGGATGTTTTGTTCCTGAGGTTCATGTGCCAGAAAATTTTCTTGGGTTGTGCCTTTGCATTTTGAGCCAGATGTTTATTTTTTTTATTTTTTATTCATTTTTTTGATTACAGCTTGATTCCACAATGTATTTTTGGCACAAGTATGGAATTTTCAGCATGGATATCGGTAGCCCAAATTCTGCAAGCCGACCATAGATATCAGGTGTGCGTCGGTAGGGGATCGAACCTCAGACCATGTGCATGGACGGCGAGAGTTCTAACCACTGTGCTATCGACGCCACTAGGTGAGTAATAAAACTTCCAGGACCTATGTATGTGCACCACCACTGCAGTTAACTCTGCCAATGATTAAAACATAAATTCGACTGAAAACAAACTCTTTTTTTCTTTAATAATCCTAACCAGGATTCTTAAATTTACTTTTTTTTATGCATAATGAACAAGAGGGCAAACTAAAGAGAGACTGTAATTTGTAAAAGCATTTGATTCATCATCACACAGTTCAGCTTAAAAAGGTGAATCTTACCGCCATTTATAACTTGTGATTAGTTAAAGCAGAATGTGCAGAAGAAATTTAAGATTTTAGTTATTTCTCAAACACGCCTTACTGAACTGTACCTTGTAATACAGACTGAAAGTGCTGAAGAACAGTAAAATCTGTATAAAAAGCAGTAGTGTATTGACCTGTACAGGTTTTGAAACACAGGCTAATAATAACACTAGTTTATAATGTGATGAAATAACCAGAGTCTGTCATAAGAAAATGATGACCGCTTCCTTAGAATATAATTATATAACCAGGGTTACCCACGGTTATATTAATAGGTTGTTAATTACTCCCATTGTGGTGAGAGCAGGCTGCTAGCCGATTGGTTGGCACTAATCTACGTTAAGGTCTAGGTCACTAATATGGGCCGTGAGAAAATATGAACAAGCCTGAGTCAACAACCAATCACAGCAAAGTTAACGTGGCAGAATATGATTCGCAGAGAGAACTCTATTTGTCAAGGAATCCCGAAACAACCAATCAGAAGCCTGCGTTTGTCTACCTAAACAACCAATCAGATGACTGCGCTTGTCTATAATAATGTAGTTGAAAGATGTATAAATACGTGTTGATTTTCATAATAAAACGATCTGTTGCCTGGCCCTTGTCTTCTGTTGTTACATTTGGTGTCGCTGCCTACCGACAAATGAAAAGCCTATACCCTGCAGTTTTTGATGGAGACATATGGATCTTCGGGCAGGACTTCAAGGCTTCTGCGCAGTTGAGTGGCGTTCAAGATCTGTCAGCGATGGAGCTGCTACTTGAGACGCTGCTGGGAGGTCGGGCGAAAGCAGCATATGAAGGTGTGGGCCGAAGTATGGACGAATGTTCGACAGGGTCAGGCAAACAGTTTCCAGAGTGGGAAGGACCATATATGGTCACTTCGAGATGGGGTTACGCAGACACAGTCGCAATGGCGAACAATGAGAGGCGCGTGAACGTCAGCGAGCTCCAGAAATGGATACAGCGAGACAAGCCAACGATGACGCCTGCACCAAGTAGATCAAGCCGACTTCAGTCGCACGTATTTGACGGGGGGACGAGTGTGGTGAGAGCAGGCTGCTAGCCGATTGGTTGGCACTAATCTACGTTAAGGTCTAGGTCACTAATATGGGCCGTGAGAAAATATGAACAAGCCTGAGTCAACAACCAATCACAGCAAAGTTAACGTGGCAGAATATGATTCGCAGAGAGAACTCTATTTGTCAAGGAATCCCGAAACAACCAATCAGAAGCCTGCGTTTGTCTACCTAAACAACCAATCAGATGACTGCGCTTGTCTATAATAATGTAGTTGAAAGATGTATAAATACGTGTTGATTTTCATAATAAAACGATCTGTTGCCTGGCCCTTGTCTTCTGTTGTTACACCATGAAGGATAAGGTGAAGAACTAGCTGAAGTAATTAGACTTTTAGACTTACTAGCACAGTAAACTTCCCAGATAATAGTTCCCTTCGAACGCCATCTTCTAAAGGATCAATTGAGTCTACATTTTCTGTATACCGCATTCGCTATAGAAAGACAAAAGATATAGGCAGCAGCAATATCATACCTGAGATGTTTTTAAAAAAAGTATTTATTATACGTCACTCACAAGTAAAAAGAAGTCAGACTACCAAGGATAATGTCTGACAGCTTGATGTAAGTTATTTAATAAAATAGGGCCTTGTTACAGCTTTGTGAATCGATACACAATTAAAACCTCCAGTCTCTCTACTACTACTGCAATAGTGCATGGTTGCGTTTAAAACACGATTCCAGACATGTGAAAGTTGCCGATACCCGAAAGTATGTGTTTGAATTATCTTTTGAAACAACTTTGCCACAAGTGTCAATGCCAAACGTGAAGATAGCAGTAAAAAGAAATCTAGAGGTGGAATCCGTAACTTTATATAATGTTTTATGTGAGTGGATAGAAGACAAAATCAGAGGTATCAAAACCATAAACATTTACTTTGTTAGTGTTCGAAAATGTTAGCATCGAGGATTAATAATCAGCGAAATGAAATAATTTGTACGCAGTCTAATGGAAAGTCCTCAAATTAATATTTGCAGGCCAGTCACACCAGTGTTCAAATGAACAGAAAAAGGTGGGTTATTATTCAAGCTAACAAGAAATGTTTAGGCGGTTTATAT